GTGTGTTTATGTCATATTTCAGGACCCGGCGTTGGAATCGAGGCGGAGAAACGAGTTCCGGGTCGAAAGGAGCAAAGTTGGGACGAAGTGGGCAGCTGGAGGAAAATACCCGGTCATGGGGCCAAATACCCGACCGGGTATTTATCACTTTGGGCGCCCGTGAGAAACAGAGAGGGACCTGGGCGTGAAGGTAAAATCCCCGGTCGGGGATTATTGGATTTTTCCCCTGACCAAAACGCGCGTTTTAATATTACCCGGTCGAGACCCAAAATACCCGACCGGGTATTTTGACCGGGTATCGCGACAGGCAGCAAATTTAAAGGAGAAGAAGGCCAAAATTCAGAGGTTCCGAGTTTTAGAGAGATAGAGCGATTCCTAGAGAGAGAAAGAGATGAACCAGAGTTTCCAAGTGCCATAGCTTGATCTTCATCACCATTGGAGCCCGGCTTGAGCTTGGAGAAGTGCCGATTGTCAACCAGGAGCAGAAATCCATCTTCACAGTATGATTTCCGAGTCTGAATCTGCTTTTACTTCTTCCTCTATGGAGTAGTTTCCCAAGTACAGAGTTTATGAATTGATTATATTCGATTGAGGTTTGAATGATCGAATGACTTGAATCTTGATCAAATTCCTGTTGTTTCTGCTTTGACCTAGAATGAGAATATCTGCCTAGGTTGATAGAGTATCCTTAATTGAAGGTAGGGAATTGGCGACTTTAGTCGAGGAGCCAATTCGCTATTATGTACTGAATTCAATTCGGTAGTGGAGGTTTGGTTCGTTAGGGCCTCAATCTGTTTACTCCGGTGGAGGTTAGTCGCCCGCTAGAGACTCAAATTGAGAGGGTCTGGAGACCTTTAGTCGAGACTTCAGACTGTTTATGAACCTTCCGCAGTATGATTTTCATGAAAACTGAACTTGGTAAATTGCAATCCGGCTTAACTACAGTCTAGGGGGAACCATATCCGGGTGACCTCTCTTGACCTGAAAACAACCGTTTAACTTGCTTTGTGTTTTTGTTTGTTCAAACCTGCACTAAAGTTTCACTGCTAGATAACAAGAATTCACCGAGTAGTCATCAAATCTAGGACCCGGGTTGACATTAAAACCCAAACCCGCTATACTACGCTTTAGGAAGTAGTTATACTTGGCTATTTTCTAGAGTGACAATAGGAGAGAGTCAGTTGCAAAATGATGACGGACCTGAAAATTCTTCTCAAGTAGTATGTTGTGTAAAAATTGACTTTTATGGTAGGATTTGTGCATTTAATAGTGTGGGCATCCAAACAACTAAATTTTTACTGTATATTTCTACCATTTTTTAATGTATAGGTTCCAGTACAAAATCCTTTTTTTTATAGTACTACAAAATATGATCTAATGATAGTAATATGAGAAGTAGAGATTTATTGGTCCATATAAGAAAGGACAATGAGGGAAATAAGAGATTTAGGAGAGAGCTAACTAAATTTTCTCAGCGGTTGACCGGATTTTTGGAGCAATTCGTGAATTTGCAGTTGTGTTATCATCACACTTTTTAAGTCTGCTCCGAAAATTCAACGTAATATATTTCATTCATTTTAAATAGAATTTCAAAATTTTTTTGCTTAGAATTATCATATTTTTGTGCTATACAAGATGGTATCATTTTTGGAACAAAATTTTTTTGAGGTCTATCATATCACTGTCAATGCACAAGTTCATAACATTTTATGCTATGAAACGATTGATCAGCCTTCACATCTAGTGGACTAAAGTAGTGAATGGTTATTCGGTGGGACATATTCAGTGTGAAGTCTTGATAATTTGGCCGATTCATATAGTTATAGAATCATTTCACAATAATAAACACGAGACCACATATTTAATTTTTTTATGGCACCCTCTTAAATAAAATCTTGGCTACCCCACTGATCACTGTCATATCACGATATTACCACTAACAATGAAATGATATCTTAGTGGTATGATGTTGATATGATAATAATAAGATGTTTGTATATGAATTCTTATGTTTGAGAAAATAATTTGATGATGTCATATCATAATATTATCACTATTGTATAATGATAATATCATGATATGATAATGATATAATGTTGGTATGAGGTCTTATGTAACAAAATAATTTGAGGACATAATATTACTGTCATATCATGATATTATTACTAATGCGACATTTATATGCAAATTTTTTCAAATTTCGAGTTAAAACAAAGAAGATATGTCCCGATTAAGAAAATAAGTAATTAGAAAAGCGGTCTTTGACTGTTCAAAAAAACATCCCTTTCTCCTTTATGATTCATCATGAGAAGGTAGTTGCTACACCACGTGCCCCTTACAAAAATCGAAGGAAAAATGAAAAGAAGCGGAAGGGATGATCGTAGCACTATCCGCAATAAATACTTTTAACTAGACACAAGAATCTTCTTCTAAAATCATACGTCCACCAAATGCCTACTTCCTACTAATCTTATCGAATTCACCTAAAGACCCACCAACCGGCCTACGGCCCGGCCACAATACTAGTTGATTAGTATACATTTATGGTTTCGTTTCTCCATTGAAAGCTTAGTTTCCAGAAGAATGTTCCTCTTGACTGTTCATAGCTGGAATTTTTCCAATTATCCAGCTCGTATATAATCCCAAACCTTATCTCTCATAAACTTTCGTACAAAATTTCCATTGGAGAATAATCCGAAGGAAAAATGAAAAGAAGCGGAAGGAATGATCGTAGCACTATCCGCAATAAATACTTTTAACTAGACACAAGAATCTTCTTCTGAAATCATACGTCCACCAAATGCCTACTTCCTACTAATCTTATCGAATTCACCTAAAGACCCACCAACCGGCCTACAGCCCGGCCACAATACTAGTTGATTAGTATACATTTATGGTTTCGTTTCTCCATTGAAAGATTAGTTTCCAGAAGAATGTTCCTCTCGACTATTCATAGCTGGAATTTTTCCAATTATCCAGCTCAATGAAGTGCCAACACATGTTCCTTTCCAGTCCCAAATCAACCCTCCAACTGATGCCTCCGATCCTTGTTGATGAATCTAGCCATCTGTCTGCATAACAAATCTTGGATTTATTTCAATCTTGTAGTGGATGTATTAACTTGACATTCTTTTGTGCTCCTCTTATTGTGTTTGTCCAGAACATAGTTTGTCCAGAACATATCGGGTAGGAGCCTTCAGTATGACCGATGTAGCAATATTCAAAGTGAATATTTGGTAAGTTCTCAAAAACAGCTGACTACCAAAAATTGTCCAGTCAAACCCAGGTTCATCGAGGTTTTTTCATGTCCAGTTCCATGGCCATTCTGGCGAATTTGGCTTGCTAGGGTTTTTTAGTGTGATGCACGGAAGGTGTGATTCCATTGAAAAGGGATGAGGTAATGGTCTAAAGAGGGTTGTTTTGAAAATCATTTCAGAGGTCTTCTCCACTCCTTTTTTTTTTCCTGCCTTTCAATTTTTATGAGGGGCCATATAAATTTGTTTCTTATTCGGTATTTTATATGCTTGCCGCGGATAAAGGCGAAAGCCAAAGAAAATGCTATTAGATGGGCGATTCGTGGAAGGAACGTGTTGAATAGTGAAAGAAACAAATTTTCAATATCAACAATCATCCATTAAAAGTTACTTGTTAATGAAATACTATCATATACCTCTCTAAAGATTACTTGTTAATCTAGAGAAGAATCACTTTTTGACAAGGTTAGATCTCTAAATTTGTACGAAAATCAATCAAAGGCATTTAGTCTCATGATTATTGAATTTAATGTTTATAAACCTGTAAAACCTAAAATTCTACAGACAATCTATATATACAAGAGGAAGTTTCCCTCTATGACCTTCATTTGGGAGAGTCATCCTGTATCTAACATCATTCTTGGTTGTATTAATCCAAAAACTATAAAAGATAATAAACTAGAGTTAAGATTGTCTTATGGGTATTGATAAAGACGAGCTTAAAAGAAAAAAAAAACAATTACCATTTTGTTTCACTATAAATTTTTTAGATTTATCTATTGACAATTTGACTGGTCCAATACATATACTCTTACTTATTCCTTTGGTGATGATAATGCTAAACCAAATCAAGTTTAGGTAATAGGACACCTAAACTGGAATTCAAGCCCTTTTGAACTCTTTAATTTTGCTTATCTGTAACCATCAATCAGTGGACTTAATCATGCCAGAAATCATCGAGTTTGAACAACCACTTTCTGCATTCTGACATTCAAAACATACCTCAATCATTCTCTTAACATATCAGTTAAGTGATTGATTAGTATTTAATATAACACTAATCCATCAATTAAGATGAAATGAGCACAAGTTAGACTAGTTCATTCTGCCACTTAGCACCTGAGAAATGTATAATAAAGGAGCGAAAACGTAAGACAATTATCCAACCCCTGTAAATGTCAACTAAACAATCACAATATAGAAATCCCAGGCATTGACAAACATGCAGATTAGAATTGCAAAACGATCCCATCACATAAGCCAGAAGCTGCAACGAAATTACCTTCCTTCCTTACTTGCTCTCCACCCAAAGAAATCAGTCTGCAACTCTCAAATTTGTTCACTCTATATATCTCTTCTCCTCGTTTACATCTCATCTTATCTTCACTCCCGACGAACCTCTAAAAAGCATAAACCACCATCGCCGGAACGATGCAGGAAACCCATTTCCGCTCTACCCTGTTCCTCATAACAGCAGCTGCTCTCATCTTTTCCATTACCAATTTTCCTCAAGTGGCTTCCCTGAGTTTCAACTACACATCTTTTCCCGACAGCACGACACCCGATTTCATCCGGAACAAATCCTACGTGGTCAGGGACGCGATCCAATTCACCCCTGACCACAGCGTCGACACAATTGCAAACCAGGCCGGCCGAATCGTCCACCGCCGGTCCTTCCGACTCCACAGAGACGGCCGCCTCGTCAAAGCGACTTTCAACACCACATTCGTGCTCAGGATTACACCCATGACCCAGCCGGCAGGGGAAGGCCTGGCATTCGTACTGACCGCCGATCCGAACCTGCCGGCGAACAGCTCAGGGCAGTGGCTTGGAATCGTCAACTCCACCACCAACGGCACGGCGCAGATTGTGGCGGTGGAGTTTGACACCAGGAAGAGTTACCCTGAAGATTTGGATGATAATCATGCTGGCCTGAATCTGCAGAGTGTTTACTCTGTTGAGCAGGTATCCCTGTCAGGAATCGGGGTCAATCTGTCTTCAGAAACTGATGTGACTGTACGGATTGAGTACGATGGCACCAATTTAACGGTGTTCTTGGGAACGATTCGGATCATCTCGCGGTCGATCGATCTTTCTGTTTATCTCCCCGAGAAAGTTCATGTGGGATTTTCAGGCTCCACTAGTCAGCTCACGCAGTTAAACTGCATCAGGTCGTGGGAATTCATCAGTTCTAAAATTGGGGATGGCGATTCTAACATGCTCTGGGTTTGGATTGTTTCCCCGATTCTCGCTCTGGTTTTGACTCTCTGCTCCACTGCTGGGTTTCTTCTATGGAGAAGGAGGCGGATGCAGCTGTTGGACGACCCTAACCCAACAATCGAAGAGGCAATTCAGGGCTCCTCCACAGCTCCAAGGAAGTTCAAGCTGAAGGAACTGAAAATTGCGACAGGGAATTTCAATCCCAGAAACAAGCTCGGAAAAGGCGGATTCGGTACTGTGTATAAAGGAATCCTGGAGGGAAAAGAAGTCGCAGTGAAGAAAGTCTCCAAGAAATCCACCCAAGGGAAACAAGAGTTCATTTCCGAGGTCACCACAATTGGGAATCTCCGCCATAGGAATTTGGTGAAGCTGATTGGATGGGCCTACGAGAGGCGAGAGTACCTTTTGGTCTATGAGTACATGCCCAATGGAAGTCTCGACAGGTTCATTTTTCGTGACGACAAGTGGGTTAGCTCGAACGGACCGTCCTCGGGTCTAACCTGGGCGACTCGAATAGGTATAATCGTGGGATCCGCCCATGCATTGGATTATCTTCACAATGGATGTGAAAAAAGGATTCTGCATCGCGACATTAAGGCTAGCAACATAATGTTGAATTTGGATTACGATGCGAAATTGGGTGATTTCGGTCTTGCTCGAACCATCCGCCAGTCCGACCAGACCCACCACTCCACTAAAGAAGTGGCAGGCACGCCTGGTTACATGGCTCCGGAGATTTTCCTGACCGGACGTGCGACCGTTGAGACGGATGTTTATGGGTTTGGTGTCCTAATGCTAGAAGTCGCTTGTGGTAGGAGACCTGGAGGAGGTGTGATGTGTCCAGATGATGACGACTACAGTAGCAACATTGTGAAGAAGGTTTGGGAGCTTTATCGGATGGGTGATTTGTTGAATGCAGCGGATTCCGGGATGAATGGGGACTTCCATGAGGAGGAAATGGCGAGAGTGCTGATCTTGGGATTGACCTGTTGCCATCCAAATCCAAACAAGAGGCCTTCCATGAAACTTGTTCTTAAGGTTCTTACAGGGGAAAGTGAAGCTCCTGAGCTACCCCTAGAAAGGCCTGCTTTTGTGTGGCCTCCCCTACCTCCGTCATTCAAGGATAAAGATTACTCCCTCGTCGGAAGCCAACTTACGGCGTTTACTGAGCTCTCTGGTAGATAAGAATAAGACATGTCTAAATATTCAAGTTATAGTCAAGTATTTGGTAAAACTATGATGCTTTAATTAGATTCAGTTTTGTAAATATCATAGATGTGTCATTTTTTTATCGTTCGTTGTTGAATTAATATAGGACTTATTACGTACATGATACATACTATATAATTTTGTTTAAGGAGTTCGATTCCATGTGAACATCTATGTGGTATCATTCTGTAGACCACTATGTGGATCCTCGCATCCGTTCACTCGAATAATTATTCTCCTTTTTTGCATAATCTTTTTTCTTCTCTACCTATTGGTGGTTAGAAAGTATTTCTCCCCTTGACATCCAATCTAACAGGGGACTAGCAAAGTTCTAGTTTTTTCGCATGTTTAATCTAGTTTTTTGGATCTCATATATTCATTCTCCATCGAGATAACTCTTCCTTTATTCCCTTGTGCTGCTGGTCGTGACGGATATCGCGTAGGACATTAGAGGAGGAAGGAAAAGTAGTTCAATGGTTTAACTTAATGTGATTAATTAGAATGCTTATTGTAGGATGATTTGGGATTTGGTTACGAGTGATTTGCGAGGGATTTGAGCTTAAATCCCTCACTAAAAAATCGAGATTTTATTTGAGAAATATGGACGAAATGTGATGTTTGGAAGTTGATCCCCCCCCCCCCCCCCCTAGCCCTTTCAGCTTTGTCGGTGGTTGGAAAATCTCTAAGGAAGAAGATTGTCAGTAGGGATGGCAATGGGTCGGGTTTTGCCAAACTCAAACCCATGGGTTTATCTTTGAAAAAAACTCGGGGTAAAACCCACTGGATTTGAAAAACTCAAACCCAACCCAACTCGTTGGGTATCCGCGGGTTCATGGGTACCCACGGGTATTGTCGTAAAAAATTTACAATTACAAGTTCTTATCAAAATTTTATTAAGCAAAAGAAATAGCCTGTACACAGTAAAAAACACCGGATCAAGAGGAATGATCCTGAAAAGGAACAAAAAGGAACAGGTAAATAAATCAGAAGCGGGAAGAGAAAAGGAAACAGAGTCGCAGAAACGAGGCCCTAAAGGTCTACATCGACACCCCAGCAGGATACAGACTCCCTGCGCGATCTAAAACCAAATCCCCTTCCAGCCTAGAACACTGCATCCTTAACACTCTGCCTCTGGAAAAGAAAAGCCAACCATCTCCGCTTCCCCACCACGCCAACAGCCGACAACAGTAGAGAAGGACGAGCAGCAAACATGAAACAGCCATCGTCCCCAATGATCAGTGCACTCCCCTGAAACAACAAAAGAGAAACTCGAAAAACCAAGAGCCACGAACAACTCTTTGATCGGTTAAAACGCTAAACCCTTCTCAATCAGCCATCTCCTTCCTTCTGATTTTTGCACCTTTCCATTAACCACAATCCATTCCATTGCCTTCCTTGCCGCCTTTTTCCCCACCGCAGCCGAGCATGTTGCTTTGTCTTCGAACGTCCTCTGATTCCTCTCGAGCCATGCAGCCCACCAAATAGAATGTAGAATACAAACGTCAAAACACTTCTCGGTTTCGTCTCCATCGGCACTATCCCAATGCGCTAATATTTGCACGATCTCGCCGTTCCATCTTGGTGTCCTGCTCCTCCTGCTGTACATCATATTCCAGATACTCCTAACGAAATCGCAATCCACGAGCAAGTGCTGGGCAGACTCCTCATCATTCTTGCAAAGCACACATTTGTTCGCCAGAAACAAGCCTCTTTTCTTTAAATTATCAAGAGTAAGCACTCTATTATGGTAAGCAAGCCATATGAAGAAGCAGATTTTACTCGGAATCCAGGAAATCCAAACATTCTCTGCTGGGAAGTCTTCGATCTCTCTTAAGTAATTGCCAGCAAATTCTCTATATAAAGATCTCACTGAGAAATTTGAGTTTGCCTCCAGTTTCCAAATGATCCTGCACGGGCTATAAGAAGAAAGCGCAACATTCACAGAGCTTAACAGATTCATGAGATTATCCCTCTCCCTCGCTGTCCCACCCCTCAAGTTATATTTAAAATCAAAATTCCAACTCACCAACTCACCCTGGGTATTTGCAGTGTCTGAAAGCAGAGCTTCCGGGTCAAGGACGGCAGCAGCGACGCGAGGAAACGAAGCGGCCAGCACAATCCCCGGGATCCAACAATCGTACCAGAACGAGACTTGAGTACCATTCCCCGGATCAATCACAGCAGAATGCCAAAACAAGTCATATTCTTTACTGATGTTAGCCCAAACCGACTTGTAGAAACCACTTCTTTCTCTCTTAGTCTGCCAACAAGACAACTCATTCGGATATTTGGAGTTAATCAAACCCCGCCACCAGCTGCCTCTCTCCGTTGCAAATCTCCATAACCATTTCGTCAGCATAGCGTCATTGAATAGCTCTAAATCATGAATGCCAAGACCTCCCTTCTTAACCGGCGCTTTGCAAAACTCCCAATCCATCAAGGCCGGCTTATTACCCTCCGACTTCCCGCTCCAAAGAAATCTTCTTTGATACCTTTCCATATCCTTAATGACAGACTTTGGGGCCTTGAAGAGAGAAAACAAGTAAGTTGGGGAACCAGAGAGGACCGCATTGATAAGAACAAGCCTCGCACCGTAAGACATATTCCTACTTCCCCAACCACTAAGTCTGTTTTGATATTTTTCAACGATTCCATCCCAAATCGAGCTGTCATTCGGTTTCGCTCCAAGAGGGTATCCGAGATACTTCGGAGCGTCACTGCTCCATTTGCACCCGAAAATTGCAGCAAAGTAGCTCGGTTCAGCTACGTCTCAAAATTAAAGTCAAATATCAATCTCTCAATACAAATTATCCATATATAAAACATCATTCTAGAAAATTCAAGCAAATCACAAATTAACTATACAAATTGTTCAACACCAATCTAGAAAACTCAAGAAAATTGAAGCAAATCACAAATTATCCATAAATAACATATTTAATTGAAAGTTTCTTCCTTTAAATTAAGTTTCTTTACTCTCCACTCCATAACATTAACTTCATTCTACACAATTAAAAAGAAAAAAATTAAACATGTCTCCACAAACATAAATAAGATTAGTTGTTTAGAATATTAAATATACCCAAAAAAATTAATTATATGGGTGGGCGGGTACCCACGGGCCGGGTTTACCTAAACCCAAACCCAACCCGGTGAATAGTGAACGGGTTTAAACACAAACCCGGCCCAAAATCCGTCAATACGGATTTTATCCGCGTTGACCAGGTTGGGTTGGGTGAGTACCGTGGGTTCGGGTTTTGTTGCCATCCCTATTTGTCAGAATGATTGGAGGAAGAAGGTTTGTCGGAACGGGGGAAGAAGAAGAAGTATGAAGGGACGGGTAGGATTTGAGAAAAAATGACATATTTTGAAATAGTTAGGGGCATAAGCCCTTTCAAAAACATGAATATGATGGATTTCAAATTCTCTTTCAATCAAAATCTCTTGCCTTACTAACTGAAAGATTTTGCCAAAATCCTTGAAAATGAGGATTTTGAGAAATCCTGCCCTAAAATTCCTAATACAAATGACTTCATTAAGTAATTAAAATAGTTCTAACTTAGGTAACCAGTTCGTCGAGCTAGAGCGGGAGTAGGACCGGGAGCGTAAGAGCGTCTATTTTACAAGAATTTAATATTGAGAGTGTGAAGAGAGCATCATGATATATTATTTTTAATTATTTTAATATATGTAATATGGTTTTTATAAAATTTCTAAAATATAATTAATACCAAATTGATTTTTCATAACCAATTGATTTCATTTATGTAAAAAATTACGATACAAATGAGATGATATTTTTAGTTTTAATTTCACTATTATATCAATAAATATATAAAGTTATTTTTTTGTAAATATTAATTATCTTAGGTTTTTCATTAACTTTTTGGTTTCCATTTAATTTTTTGGCCATTCACCGGTGACCCAACGGCCAACGCTAACCACACAACTTCTCTCTCTCTCTCTCTCTCGGCAATTTACTGCTCTGTTCTTCTCCTTCGTCATTTTGGAGATTAGTTTCTCCATGCAACAAGCGAGTGAATCATTTTCGATCTCGCAGATCAACTTCTAATGGAAAACAAAAAGTTCCACAATAGTAGTTCGTAGCCGGAAGGAGAATGGTCTGCGTCGACGACTACCGATTCGACTGGAAGAAGAAAAAGAAAGGATTCCATTGACGAGCGTCGATTCAGCACTGAAAGGTAATAGAGTGGCCAGCTGGCTAGGACCTGAAGTGTTTGCCGGAGGAAAAGAAAGGATTGCAATATATAACGATTGTCATTCAGCGGGGAAGGCAATTGAACGGCTAGCAGGACAGGGAATTTATCTCTTTGTTCTTGTAGAACTCACTTCATCAAGAGATTCGCGAACTTCCAAATATAATTCGCCCTCCAGTCACTGATAATTCGGAATTGTGGACACTCTATTTGAAAAACGCGTTTTCATGCTCTAATTCGGGTGCGGCCATGGTCGACCCACGAATTGGATGACCTAACTACTAACTGAGTCATAATCAAATGTTGTGATTCCCATGTAGGCAATCTCCACCTCTTTTCTTCTGTATAATCTTTTCCATTTCCCAAATCATAACTTTGAGTTTAAGATTGAGTATTCTGTAAAACAATTATAAAAATAATATTGTTTTCAAGATTGGGTATTCTGTAAAACAATTATAAAATGTGGTAACTTTTTTACAAAACTTTAAAAACTCTTTTGTAATCCAATACCGTAAACAACTCGTACTACTTTGCACAACACCTTACTGTTCACGTCTTTCTCTTTCATTTTTTTATAGTAGCTTGTGAACCGCCTCAAAAGTTTCACTGTTCTTTCCTCTCTTATATAGTTTCATTGGTTCATTTAATTGTAGTTGAATTCCATAAATTTCCGCTTTATTATATCATTCATATCCTCCTCCGCCAAATAATATATGGAGGTTCTTCGTGAGCACCCCTTCCATTCCGTTTTTGCAAGCTCCTGCGCAATTTGAGACAGGGCTAGCTCTTTGGTCTTTACTAGGCTTAAGAATTAAAACACCAACTCATTAACTAGAAAAGGGGCAGGACTCCAAGGAATTTGCTACGGTGATATGCATGTCACGGTGACATGCATTTTCCGATCGACCTCATATAGGGTTAGGTCGACCTAATCTGTTGTTTTAGTGTAAAAACAGTTTTATAATGCCTACTTTGGAGATTCATATCTTACAATTGGCTAGATGAAAATTGGAGATTAATGGCTTGTTTTGAAGCTGAAGTGTCCCTCTACACATTAAAGTAATTGGGAGCTCGATAGAAAGTTCAGAAGACCATTTTTGAACCTGATCAAAAGGCTATGCCAAAACTGAAAACCTGCCTGAAAATGGCTGTCTGGGAACGTGTTTGTGAAGCCTACTTTGGAGCTCAATTTGAGAGGTATGAATGCGATTCGAGTCCAGGGGCCTCTACCACGTTAAATTAGGTATGTTTTTCTACAAAGGCAAGGCATTGTATGAAAGATTGAATATCTTTAAGGCTTCAAACAAAGTGGTCGAAGTTTCTACGAAGGCTGTTTTTGTGGCAGCTTGCTTGTGCTCGAAGTCTGCCAGAAAAACAGCCTTCGTAGCAACTTCGACCCTTTTGTTTGAAGCCTTACAGATATCCAATCTTTCATCCAATGCCTTGAATTTGTATAAAAACGTATCTAATTGAACGTGGTAGAGGCCCCTGGACTCGAGTCACATTCATGCTTCTCGAATTAAGCTCCAAAGTAGGCTTCACAAACACGTTTCCAGACTTAGCCATTTTCAGGCAGTTTTCAAGTTTTGGCATAGCCTTTTGATCAGGTTCAAAAATAGTCTTCTAGATTTCCTATCAAGCTCTCTATCACTTCAATATATAGAGGGACACTCCAGCTTCAAAACAAGCCATTAATCTTCAATTTCCATCTAGCCAATTGTATGATATGAATCTCCAAAGTAGGCATTATAAAACTGTTTTTCAAGCCATTTTCTACCAGAGATCGTGGCAGGTGGTTGGGAAAGTTCTTATTGACTTGGCTCTTAGCTTATTTTCTACAGGGGTACTGCCAGAGAAAGTGGTGGAATCGACAGTGGTTCTCATCCCCAAGGTGGAACATCCAGAGTTGGTTTCACAGCTTCGCCCGATCTCCCTCAACAACGTCTGCCTGAAAGCCATTACCAAAGCCATCACCAACCAACTTAAGCCCATCATGAGGAAGCTAGTGTCCCTAAACAAAGCAGCTTCATACCTAGTCGTCAGACTACAGATAACATCATTGTTTTGCAGGAAGTTCTTCACACTTTGAGAAAGAAGAAGGGCAAGAAAGGGGGGATCGTGCTCAAAATTGACTTGGAAAAGGCTTATGACCGTCTCAGATGGGATTTCCTCCGGGATACTCTCAAGAAAATTGGCCTTCCTAGCTCTTGGATTAACTGCATTATGTTTTGTGTTGAGCACAACAGGATGAGATTGCTATGGAATGGAGAGCTCTCAGGCCCGATCATACCTACCAGAGGCGTTCGTCAGGGAGACCCTTTATCTCCTTACCTTTTAGTGTTATGCATGGAAAGACTGTCTCACAGGATTGATCAGGCTATCGAGGATAGGCTTTGGAAGCCTCTAAGATTGTCCAAGGAGGGCCCCACGATATCTCACCTATTTTTTGCAGACGATCTTATTCTTTTTGCAGAAGCTGAAGGCTCTCAAGTTAGGATCATCAAGCAATGCCTCGATGAGTTTTTCCAAAACTCGAGACAAAGAGTTAACTACAATAAGTCGGCTATCTTTGTCTCAGCTAACATTGATCGGAGGAGAGCTTGCCGTCTTTCTTCCCGGGCTGAGATTCCGCTCATGGTGGACTTAGGGCGCTATTTAGGGGTAATGGCAATCCACGGACGAGTGACTAAGGCGAGGTTTCGCGATCTAGTGCTGAGAATCCAGAAGAAGATCGCCCCTTGGAAAACCAGACACCTCTCCCTTGCAGCTCGGATTACCATGGTGAAATCTATTTCTGCCTCTATCCCCCTTTACCCTATGCAAACAGAACTGCTCCCTGTGAATGTTTGCAGGACTCTTGACCGGATCAATAAAGGCTTCATCTGGGGGGATACAAAAGCCAAAAAGAAGATACACCTGGTTGGTTGGCAGCAGCTGCTAGTACCGAAACGCAATGGAGGTCTAGGCATTCGCTCAACGAGGGAAGTTAACCTTTCCATGCTAGCCAAAGGCGGTTGGCGAGTCATACAGGAGAAAGATAGCCTTTGGGTTCAAATTTTCCGGGCAAAATATGGAGGAGACCGGCAAAATCTTGAGATCCTCAAACAGATTCAGGGAAGTTCCTTTACCTGGGCCAGTTTTACAAAGACTTCTGCTTTATTAAAACAGGGTTGTGCGTGGAACATTCACAGAGGAAACCAGACTAAATTTTGGTCCGATCCTTGGATTGTGCAGGATCCCCTTCAGGAGTTGGCTACATCACAAATCCCGGAAGAGGACCTTCAGCTTCCATTGTCGGAGTTCGTGGATGAAGATGGGAACTGGAAGGTCGAGTTGTTTAGCCATCTTCTCCCACAGGAGATTCAGCAGAAGATAACAGCTCATGCTATCGACCCTTTGGCAACAGAGGAGGATAGCTTATTCTGGAGTCCAACGTCAGACGGCCGTTTTACCACTAAGAGTGCATACCAGTTATTGCAGCCCGCCTCCTATGACGCCCAGCAACAGTGATGGAAGACTGTATGGCAACTCTCGGTGCCTGAGCGGATACGTTTCTTCATTTGGCTGATTGCTCAGGGAAAGGTGTGTTCGAATGAAACCAGAGTTCAAAGGCATATGACCCAGGATGGTTCTTGCTATAGATGTGCGAACCAGGTAGAGAATATTGACCACATCTTTCGCTTTTGCTCCCCTGCGGCCTACCTCTGGCATCGATCTGTCCCCATGGAAGCCCAACATGAGTTTTTTAGCTCCCCTTGGGAAGTCTGGTTGCGCAGGAACCTAACAAGCAAGATCAAGACTGCTGTCGGGGTGCCTTGGGACGCCTTTTTCAGTGTTTCCCTTTGGTGTCTATGGAAGAATAGAAACGAGGGAGCTTTTAAGGGTACTTCCAAGACTTTGTCGGCCCCGTCACTCATGCAAAGTATCAAGATCAAAGCAGATTTGTGGTTCCGGGCGTGGAATGCTCCTTCTCCCATCAGTGGCAGAGTGAACCAGCCCCCAAACCGTACCATGATGGACATTGGGTGGAAGTCCCCACCTGCAGGTTGGACGAAGATCAATGTCGACGGGGCAGCTAATGGCTCGCAAGGGATGGCTGGGGCGGGAGGAGTTGTTCGCTCTTCTCAGGGCAGCTGGGCAGGTGGTTTCGTCTCAAGCCTTGGTGCTTGTTCGGCAACTGCAGCTGAACTCTGAGCTATTTATCATGGTTTGAAGTTGGGTTGGAAGCTTGGTTATAGAACCATCATCATCGAGTCTGATTCACAAATGGCCATCCAACTTGTGAAGAACTGGAGTGATCCTCTGCACCCGTATGCAGCGCTCCTCTCGGCTATCAGGAGGACGATTTCTCTGGATTGGGTGGTGAATCTGGTTCATACATACCGGGAAGGGAATAGAGTCGCGGACTGGCTCTCGAAGCACAGTCTCTTAAACCTATCTCCATCAAGCCAATTGAAGACTTGCAAGAAATCGACATTACTATACACCCCAACATAGGCCAGAACCTCCTCCATCATCTACTACATAAATTGTTCCACCTCTTCAACCTATCAGGTTGTTGAACATGAGGTCTTGAAACATCGCCCTAACTACCACTCTCTTTTAACCACTGTCACTACTATTGTTATCTCTAGCGGCCCATGAGGCTCTTAACTTTGTTTCAGGCACATGTCAGAGGAGCTGGTGAAGATGGTGAATGAGTGGTTGGAGGCGAAGAAGTTGGAGTGGACGGTGGCGGGAGATGAAATTCGGTTGCGGAAGTTCTTTATAAAAAATAGAGTCCTTGTAGAGTTGGCGGCCAAGTAGGACGTACTTGACCAAATTGGATGGTTTGTGACCTATGATGAATATGCTTTAAGTTAAGTGAGTGACTAACTAGCAATGAAAATTTTTATGGCACCAAATATGAAATATTGATAAATCAAGTGATTAAATGTATAATTTACCCTAAGTTATCTTAATTGATTATATAAGCGAACATTGGAGGTATATGTGGACCAAAAACATATAAAAAAAATTATATATTTGAGATAAGAAAAAATCATTTTTTAAGGGAACTTAGGGTCATCTTTTAGGGTTTTCCAATTGTTGAAGCACGGGCACTCTTCTTTGTTCCCAAAAGTCCCTAACGGATTACACAAATATTTCCGACAACACATATTGCAAAAGAACAAACATAGTTTCTTATGCGACGTCGTCAAACACTTGAAATCACACGCTCTTGCACATTCTGCAATATATATACATTACCCAAGTTAAATCATTAATATATATATGTAATCAATCATCATAGTATTTAAAATTTATATTCATAGTTACATGTTAGTTTTACGATACTTGAAAAAACTAATATCAATATACAAAACACAGTTTCACATATCAATGAGATCATCTAAATTAAAATAATAATACTTACGATTTGCGATAAGTGAGCCTTCTCCACCAGCCTGCATTTGATTCATAAAGATTAATTAATTTAGACAAGAAATTGGATTTTTTTATTAAGATATGTCAAAAGGACAAAAACCAACTAAGACTCAACTCTATTACAAATATCAAAAGGTTAATGCGAACTAAATTGTAAAAATGACCACAAAATAGACTAATTCATTCAGACATAGCAAAAACAAACATATACGAACATGAACTGCGAACATCATGGTCATGGCAAAAAGAAGAGCGAAGGCAAAGACTTTTGCTGTCATTTTTTATTATGTGTATATGGAATCGCTGATGAAGGAGAAAAATATGGATGTAGTTTTTGTTTAATTTACTTTGTAGGTTGCGGACATACCACTAAACGGGTATAGCTGTATATATAATAAGATGATATATAGAAGAACTCCTTTTAGGAATCAATATAAGGAAAGTCTTCTAATTACCATTCATTTTTAAACTTAAAGCCTTATATTTAAAAATATGATGCACTGTGGTTTCGTTTCCTTTTTTCACTGTTCAATAGAAGGAAGAGAATGGAACATGTAATGTCTATCTAATGTAAAAACTAAAAGAACAATAATAAAATAAATAATTAGATATTTTTCTAAACATGTATTTGCATTCAATATATGATCTTCCTTCCTGTAGCTATTTTCATGAAGGGCAAAATGGTACATTTCTCTTTTTAATTTTACCGCTCAGTATAATTATAACAATTCATGTTAGAAAATTATCTTGTCTTTTCATACATTTTTATCACTCAACATTCTCACCCTTTTATTTACTCCCCTTAAATTTTATTATTTGTTATAAAATCCTGACAGAGGCTAGGGATGAAATCCTGACGGATGTTCCAACGGCTCAGGAGGGAAGTCCATCTTTCAAATCTCAGCCGCAGCTTTGGACGCAGGGTCACAACACCGCGAGAAGGCGATTTAGTGACGTAGTTCCCTTGGATAACTGGTACATCGCGGACTTAGATTTCGAAGAGGTTACTGCAGCCATTCGCGAAGATGGGCGGGAAGATGACTTCCAAAAGGAAGACGATCCGAACTGTCCTCCAATCCATTTTACTACAGCGGAGAAGAGAAAATTCAGCCAGGATTGGCATTCAGCGCTGGTCGTGAAGGTTTTCGGGCGTTCTATATCCTATACTGCGATCTCGCGCCGTCTGAACATGATATGGGCTAAGGCAGGAGGCATCCAAGTCACTTCGGCAAAGAATGGCTATTATTTTGTGCGTTTCACCAGTGGTATAGATTACGAAAGGGCAATCACTGGAGGTCCGTGGATGATAGGGGACAACTACCTGACAGTGCATACTTGGGACAAACACTTCAACCCCTACCAGCATGAAATATCGTCAACCTTAGTTTGGGTCAGGCTCCTCGATATACCAATTAACTACTTCCATCTGGAGGCAGTTATGAATATAGGGCAGCGGATCGTGAAACCTTTGCGAGTTGATGAGGCCACCAGAACAGGAGCACGTAGTGATTATGCGAGGGTCTGTGTTCAAGTCGACCTCACCAGGCCATTACTCTCACAATTTCGTATTGATGGAATTAAATATTTCATTCAATACGAGGGGCTCGAAAAGATTTGCCTTCAGTGTGGGACGTATGTTGCTAATGGTCATTGTCGGTGTGCTAGACCCGTGGAGCCTATGGAAACTGAAAATCCGGTTAACGAGAAGGAACCACGGACCAGACCGAGTTTATGGTGAGTGGATGATCGCAAAGCGTAAACCTCGAAACACCCAACGTGAAGCGGTGGGGACAGAGGGATCGAGGAAACCAACGGGTGAACAAAGGAGGTCATCGGGCTCGAGATTTCAAAATTTAGCCGAGGAGCACCCCCCAGTCACGGAGGAACAACAACATACTGAGATAACCTCGAGGGAGACTACCCCAACCGTTGTGAATGCTACGAAGAAACAAGCAGCATTTAACTGGGAGCAAAATATGAAAGCTGCTCGGACCCTGACCCCCTAACACAAACGGGTTTGACAAACCAGTTTCAGCTACCCCTGACGTTCATCTAGGCAAGACCACTGATGGGGGCCAACCATTGCCAAGAACTCGTCACACCCCTCGCGAGAAGTCGCAGGGGGAGCAACCCATGCCAGAGATATCCGCTACCGCCTATGGTGGATTCACATCTTGCCCAGGGAAAAGAATCGCGCCCCAGAACAATGCCACTCAACAGGGTGGGCCACTTCCCCATGAGCTTACTCTCAAGAGTGCTGCCTTAGAGAGGCCACCTAACGACCCTATGGACGTGAGTGGGCAGGAACTCAATGTGCAAAGTGAAGTTTCTAGTGAAGCAAACTCCATGCGAGGTGGCGGGGATTCCCCGCTAGAGACCTGTTAATGGATATACCCGTGATCACCCTCTACGCTTGTTTTTTATGGATTACAAAATATTTGCCTGGAACTGTAGGGGTGCAGGTGGACGGAGATTCCTTCGTGTGTTCAGTGAGTACAAGAAAGAGAAGGTTCTCTCCGCAAATTACTATCATCGTTGAACCTAAGATCAGCGGCGACACTGCCCTGAGAGTAATCCGTTCAATGGGTTACGACCGCGAGCTTGTTGTAGATGTAGTAGGCTTTTCCGGGGGTATCTGGGTCCTCTGGAACTCATGTGAGTTGGATGTTGCGCAAGTGCAGCCCACACCCAATTTCTCCACGTAGAGGTGCGGGAGACTGGCTCCCGTAACAGCTCATGGCTTTTGACTGCTATTTATGGGAATCCGGCGCCCATGCAACGTCGTCAATTGTGGGATGAACTTGAAAAGATGGCCGAGGATCAACAGCGATCGTCGATGAGCGTGCAGCCCGCCGGCCCAAAACCTTTCCGATTTATGGCTGCATGGCTAACCCATGAGGATTTCAAATGCATGGCAAAGTCTTCCTGGGAGAGCGGATCATCTTTCTCAGAATCGGTTATAGCCTTTCCGAGAGAGGCCAGGGAATGGAATAAGAACATATTTGGCAATATTCAGCGAAGGAAAGATGCTTTGCTCCAGAAGATCGAGCGTTGGGAGGCACATGATGGAGATGCTAGCTTATCTCCGAAGCTTGAACAAGCTCGTGAGGAGCTTTAAGTCCTTCTCTTCCAGGAGGAGCTCACTTGGTGTCAAAAATATCGGCTGGACTAGATCATTTCTGGAGACCGAAACACCAAACTTTTTCATGCTCGCACTATTTTGCGCCGCAAGAAAACAGAATACTAGCCCTTAAAGGGGCAGATGGAACCTGGATCGAAGATCAGGCAACCCTTCAGGAGATAGCCCGCAACTTCTTCATGCTCCTCTATACAAACAAGGGTGGGGAAACCCAACCCATGGGTAATGGTTTCCCGGTTATTGATCAACAAAGGTGGCAATTTGTTGACTCCATGCCCACTCATGAGGACACCAGGACAGCAATCCGCAGTATGGGAGCGTTGAAGACCCCGGGAACGGATGGTCTCAACCCTCTTTTCTTTCATCATTGCTGGGATTTTGTAGGTGATTTGGTGACCAAGTTAGCCCAGGACTGTTGAATGGAACCGGGGAGGATTCAAAGCATTAACACCACTATCATCGTTCTAATCCCGAAGGTCTCTTCCCCGACCCTCATAGAGCAGTTTCCCCCCATCAGTCTTTGTAACGTGGCCTACAAGGCATTGACTAAGTGTCTTGCTGAGAAGCTGAAGTCCCTTATCCCGAGCTTGGTTCACCAAACGCAAACCAGCTTCGTTCCGGGGCGTCATATCACTGACAAAATTTGTATTTTGTAGTAAGGGGTTCACTCCATGAGAGCAAAGAAGGGTCGGAAGGGTTGGATAACTCTGAAAGTTGACCTTGCCAAGGCCTACGATCGAATACGCTGGGAGTTTGTCAGAGATACCTTATAGGCGGCTGGGGCACCAACTCAGTTCATTGATGTCACTATGGCTGGCTTATCCACTGCATCTATGCAGATTCAATGGAATGGAGGACTGTCAGAGCCTTTTCAACCATCTAGGGGGCTCCGTCAAGGTTGCCCACTATCCCCTTACATTTTCACTTTATGCATGGAGCGAATGGGTAACCTGATCATGGCTGAAGTGGAAGAGGGCTCTTGGCAACCCATCAAGATCACAGGGAAAGGCCCTGCCCTTTCTCATCTTTTCTTTGCGGAAGATCTGATCCTCTTCGGTGAAGCTACGCCGGAGCAGGTTGCTGTTGTCAATCATTGTTTTACGCAGTTCAGTGCCTCATCGGGACAACAGGTTAGCCAGCAGAAGTCAAGAGTCTTTTTCTCGGCAAATGTCTCACCCGACCAGCGAAGCAGCTTGAGTGCAGCCTTGGAGATCCCTGAAACCTTGAACCTAGGGCGTTACCTTGGAGTCCCAGTTATTTATGACAGGGTATCCAAGGCCACATATACAGACCTGATCAATCGTATCGAATCCCGCCTTACAGGTTGGAAGGCATCCACTCTTTCTCTTACAGGCAGGATCACCCTTGCTCAATCTGTGCTATCATCTTTACCGGTGTCCACCATGCAGACGGCACTCCTCCCTGCCAGTGTTCGAGACTATATTGATCGCAAGATTCTTGGTTTTATATGGGGGAGCACAGAAAATGGCCGGAAGCTGCACCTCGTCGACTCGGAGACACTATGCCGCCCCAAAGAAGAGAGAGGCCTGGGACTAAGAGACGCAACGCGGATGAACGAAGCGTTCATGCTCAAGATCGCCTGGAGGATGATCACGAATCTTGAAGAGCTCTGGGTTCGAGTGCTGGCCGCGAAATATCTCAGGAACATGGATGGGGGGCTTGTCCCTCGAAGTCAAGGACGTATCTCAAACTTGTGGAGAGGTGTTTTGCTCGTTTGGCACCTCATTGATGAGGCCTCCTTTTGGAATGTGAGAAATGGTAAAACCGCAAGATTCTGGCTGGATAGGTGGTTAAAATGATGGTGATCCTCTCCATTCCTTTGCCCAAGACTTGCCTCATGATGTACTGGGGATGCCGGTGGAGGATTTTGTGCTTAACGGAGAGTGGAATCTCCCATTCCTCTCTTATTTCTTATCTGCTGACATTGTCTTGCAGATTTGCCTCCACCCAGCGCCGTCAAGCCAAGCCAAAGATATTAGAAGCTGGAGACTCACTGCGAATGGGATCTTCTCCACTAAGACGGCGTATGAACTTACCGATGCAGAGTACAGTGCACACCCCTCGCACCCTTTATGGCTATCAATTTGGCGGGTTAAGGCAATGCAGCGGGTCCGGACGTTCATGTGGTTGGCGACACATGATCGGTTACTCACGAATGTTGAACGAGGAAGGAGGCACCTGACACAGGATGTAAAGTGTAAAATCTGTGGAAATGGGTCGGAAACTGTGTTACACGTTCTCCGTGACTGCCCGTATGCACGAGGCACGTGGGTGGTGATTCTCGGTGATGAATCGGATGATGATTTCTTTGGCCAGCATCTTCAAGCTTGGATCCACCATTATTGTTCTGGTCGAGGAGTTGTGGTTGACGAATCCTTGTTTGTAGGGACATGTTGGCTGATATGGAAGAACCGCAATGAGCTGGTTTTCCGAGGGGAATTGTGAAGCTTTGAGCAGGTGCATTTTAAAGTCACCCACCTCCAACAACAGATCAAGGCCGCCTTTGATAATGAGCAGAACCTATTTGGAGGAATAGGGGCGAAAGAGCTAAGGCTGATTAGTTGGCAACTGCCGCAACAGGGGTGGATGTGTGTTAATACGGATGGTTCCGTTATACAATCTCTATCAAGCACTTCAGCGGGAGGAGTTATTCGGGATGACAATTGCAGTTTTGTCAAAGCTTTCGCGATCAACTTAGGAGGAGGATCTATTACCCGGGCCGAGCTGGCCGAGATCGAACATGGTGTGAAGCTTGCCTGGGAAACGGGACCAGCGAAGGTACTCATCCAGACTGAATCCACTACTGCGATTTCTTTAATTGAGCCGGCCACTCAGGAGCACCCACACTATCGCCACATCACGGAGATTAGACGTTGGATTAGTCGCGATTGGCAAGTCAAGCTTGAACATGTCTACCGCGAGGCCAATTATACGACGGATTATCTTGCTTCCCTAGGACACTCTCTACCCATTGGTCTTCATGTGTATGAGCTGCCATCAAGCACCATGGCTTACTGGTTCTATTTTAACAGTATTGGGGTTCAAACCCCACGTTATATTAATCCTTAAAGGTTGTGGCGCCCTTCAGTGCTCCTCTTCCCACCAAAAAAAAGAGACATCTGGCTATCGTGTCAGTCAAGAGATGAATCACATTATTGGTGTTCTTTATTAGGTATTTTCGTCTTTGCGTCAAAGGTGGGATTTGGTTTCTTGCATACAGATTCGTAGCACTCTAGTCAGTTGTTTTTAGGTTGGTCGTTTCACAGGGGAATCATAGGTCGTTTAGGTCATTTTGATGGTGATATAAAGATAAATCAAGGTAGTGCACTCAGTTTTGTAAGTTTCAAGTTATAGTTCGATCTGATTTATTTTTTAGTAAATTCTAAAATGATATACTGAATTACTTGCTTTTCGAGATGTTGTGAGATGGTGGCTAATGCATAAATGTTTTACTTTGGTATTTTCTGACGACTCTAAAGTTGGTCATCTGGCATGCTCTGTCGAAGGAACTACATAGTCGCTGGTGATAACACCCAAAATGGTGTTATTTAGGGCGCGTTTGCTTCATGGATTTGAAA